CCTGAAGGCCTTATTCACGGCTTATTTGGGCTCTGTCTCTGACCCCCCCCCCCGCCTCCCCTCCCGCCCAACAGCCCCTATGAAGGACCCAAAAACCGCAGGTGTTTGTTGGCCCCAAGAATGCCCTGATCTTGCCAGGGATAACCCCTGCTTCTACCGCCATCACTACGATGAGAAGATGGTGGACACACCTCTGGAGTCGGGGCCGACAGCAGGGTTTTGGGATTGGATGGCTGTCGATTGGGTCGATTGGAGGCACTGTTTCCCGCATTTTCCTTCAGCCCATGGCAGCGGCTTCCATACTAACCACACGATCGCCTTGTTCGGAAGGTCACCTGCTTCAGACCTGCCGTTCTTTGCTGGCAAGTCTTGTCATGAGTTTTGGGTTGTCCGATTTTGGGCGATGATTAAGGGGGGGCGAAGGGCAACGCAGCCAGATGTGTGGAGCCCTCTTGTCGGCATTGGTGCAGGTATCAGTCAGCTCATGTTGTTGTCGAGATGTTGCCAGACGTTGCTGTTGGTGAAATTCGATGTCGCAATTTGGGCAGCGCCCAAAAAACCCTACTGGCCACTGTAGCAGTTGGTTCTAGTACCTGGTTTAAATTTGGTTTTACGTAGCAAAGTCTATGTCTCCATCTTCGTTCAAGCAAAAGTGAATGGGCTTTGGGCTCCGCTGTCGAGTTCGCAGACATTGATATGGAAGGCGGGCACAATCAGTTTGCTATACTCGAGATCGCCCGACTGGTTGAGTCTTGAACATCTCTGCGTCAGGAACAAGACAAACCATGACTTGGCAATGTATGCAAAGCATGCTTTCGAGACAACATTCGCGAAAGCCAGAACTGCCGATTTACATTTGGAAATTGTTGGAAAAGGACGTGATTTCCAAGTAGTCTATAGAAGGGTGGCAGTTTGAATTTATTTGTTCTGGGCACTCGCAAGCAAACGCAGCATGGCGCAAGACGACGGCGCAAGGGCGAGCGGAGAGATAGCGTCACACACAGCACCTGCCAGGAGCTTCAAGAGGGCAGCCCCCCAAGGGAAAGGCACATCCAATCGTGGCCGTCTAGAAGCAAGTTGCTTCTCAAATCTACAGTAGGATGGTTGGTTCAGAAAGCTGCAAACAACTTATGCCTATTGCAAGGGTGAGTGCCGAACGCTCCAAAGGCCGCGAATAAGCACCGTACTTTGAAGCACCCCCCCATTGCACGGCGAAGTTGGGGTCACTTGCATTTGTCGATGTTGCCGGAGAAGGGGTTTGTTGTCGATGCGGCATTTCTGATGCCAACAAGTGGCTGTGGGTCAAAAATAGGTACCCAAGATGGAACCTTGGTAAATGGAAACATGGACTAAAACCTGCGGTCCCCTCATGGTTTAATTTTGACCGACACCCAAGCGACGCGACCCCTGCAGCGTTGCAAGTCTGTCCGCTTTGAATGCTGCCTTTGGGTTTGCTGCACTTCAGGGCTTGGACCCCTTCAGCCACCACTTGTGTTGAGAGAGAGCCACCACGGAGACATCCCGTCTCTGAATTTCTTCTTTCTGTCTTCCTTTCTTCCTTTCTTTTTTCTTTCTGTTCTTTGCCTCGAACCATGCACCACACTGTAGGTTCGCCAAGCACTCGGACATTCTTAGGGGCCACAACAAGTGGGAGGCACTTGAGCGGGGAGCTGGGAGCGAGGGGAAGGGACGTCCTGTTTCTACAGTCGCGCTGCGTTTGCTGGTTTCTTGTCAAGAAGGCGACGGTTTTTGTGGGATACTGTTAGCTAGCGCGCAAAAAAAACAAGAAAACAATTCAGCTTTTTGCTCGGTGGTTGTACTACCGAAGCTCATTGGGATTCTTGACTGCTATTGGGTTGGATCTTTAGACTTTAATTTTTGGGGAAATCCAGTTGGGTGTGCCACTAAACCCACAAAAAGTTGAATCTTTTTTGCAGAGGGGTCAACAGACACCAAGGATTGTGCTTCCCATATTAAACCTGTACCAAAAGTCGGGGTTCCAGCGCTGCTCAGTCCCACGATGCACTGGACTTTCAGCTTGCTTTTACAAGGTTCCCTGCAGCCAGGCAAGCAGCCAGCTAGAACCGTTGTCAAAGGCCATGTTTGCTAGAACCCCTTGGGTAAAATTTGGGTGATCTGTGTTGTTCCTCAAAAAGGGGCAACAAAGAGGTGTCCAGACACACTCTTCATCCCTCATTATGTACTAAATGTTAAAGACAGCATAATATACGTCTATTGCTGAAAATATTGTTTTGTTCATGTTCCCCTGTTGGTTCTAAAGGGAATCTATCACTACTGGAAACATCTTATTTTCAGTGGACTTAAAGCAAATGGAGGGGTATATATTATATATATTACGTAGGATTGATCTTTCTCTTTGTCGCGTAAGTGCTTGCTGTAGATTCTCAACGAAGGCTTTCCACTGCTTTTCACGAAAGCTAGCTTTAGCTAGCTGAAGTTTCTCCTTGCATAAGCAAGGTAAGGGGCTCAAATGCCGAAAGATTGATTTTTTCAATTATTTGAGCCGAAAAGATTGAAAAACATCAATTATTTAGACCCCCCCCCCTCCCCCCCCCCCCCGGTCTCAGGCTCGATTCCTCCCTGGTCCATCCCCCCCCCCGGGCAGTGGCTCAGTGTTCAGCAGTCTCGGTTTGCCCGTTTTGGACTTGGTGCTACGAACTTTTACATGTTCCACCGATTCAGCTTGTTCATTTGAGACCTCAGTCTTCTCAGTAAACCACCTCGCAAGAATCTTTGCACACGCAGCATGCAGAACCCAGAGGTGCTTTAAGACAGCTTCTGACGCCTCTCGTTGTTTTCATTTTTCAAGGTTTGCCACGCCACCATGTGCGTTTGCGTGTCGAATCTTGCCGGGCCTCTCGTTGTACACAAGCTACCCATGAATCCACTCTGTCACCAACCCATCTCATGCAACAACTGCTAGCTTTCGTTCACCTGCTCCTCAAGTGATCCACTGACCTCTGTTTCTACAGGGCTGGGCTCACGGTTCCAGGGTAAACTATGATTGTTTTGCTTGCCACGTCACGTTTGTTCCACACAGGCTTGCAGCTAGAATTGGAGGAAAATTGCACCTATTTTTTCAGGTTGGCCTCTCGGATGCCGAACTGCCCTTGTAAAGGTTTCGTAGGACCATGGACTCGTTCCATTCGGGTGGCTTGTCTTCTTTTGAGTCGCTGCTTTTGTGGTTTTAGACAGGGAAGCCAAAAGGAAACCACCTTTTCTGGGGTCCCCTAAAAAGAAAACGACACACCCATTCTTGACTTCACTGAAACCATCATAAACCAAGGGGGTCCAGAAACGATCTGAGGGCAGGATCTACAAGGTCCTGCGGCAGAACCTCGAGTCGGAGGACACCAGCGGTTTTGGGGAGGGTGTCACAGGATTGGAAGCCCCCCGCAATCGTGGTTGTCCTAAAATGACCCCCTCAAAAAAGGACGCAGATGCAAGGGCCAGTGGGCTAGCTTGCACAACTGCCAACACCCGCTCGCTGGACCTTTTGACTTCGCAATGTTGGTTTATGATTGATCATGGCTTCAAACGGTCAGCCCTTTCTTTCCACGTCCTGGCAACTGGCAACTGACTCAAATCTCCACAGACTGGACTTGATAGACGTGGGTCCACCGGAAGCATCATCATACCAGTAGAGCCGGCGAAGCCGGTGGGCGGAAGTTTCAAAAATATAAAAACTATAGTTCTCTTTCTCTTTCTTTTCTTGATTTGTTTTCTCCGTCATTCTTCCTTTCTTCCTTTCTTTCCTTCCTTCCTCCCTTCTTTCCTTCTTTCTATCTGTCTTTTCTTTCTTTTTTTCGTTTGCTTGTCTATCTATCTTTCTCTACCTATCTATACTTAACTACCTATCTATCTATCTCTCGTGTTATCTATCTATCTGCTTATCTATCTATCTATCTCTCTATCTATCTTCTCTATCTATCTCTCTATCTCTCTATCTATATATCTACCTATCTCTCTATCTCTCTATCTATCCATCTCTCTATATCCCTCTATCTCTGTCTCTCTCTTTCTCTATCTGTCTATCTATCTATCTCTCTATCTCTCTTTCTTTCTATCTTTCTATCTCTATATATCTCTTTCTTTCTATCTATTCATATTTTTTTTTTGTCTATCTATCTATCTATCTATCTATCCATCTATCTCTCCATCTATCTCCCGCGTATCTCTCTCTCTATCTATCTATCTATCTATCTATCTATCTATCTATCTATCTATCTATCTATCTATCTATCTATCTATCTATCTATCTAATCTATCTATCTATCTATCTATCTATCTATCTATCTGTCTGTCTGTCTGTCTGTCTGTCTGTCTATCTATCTCTCTGTCTATCTATCTATCTCTCTATCTCTCTCTCTCTCTCTATCTATCTATCTCTCTCTCTCTCTTTATCTATCTATCTATCTCTCTATCTCTTTATCTCTCTCTCTCTCTCTGTCTATTTGTCTATCTATCTTGCTATCTATCTATCTATCTATCTATCTATCTATCTATCTATCTATCTATCTATCTATCTATCTCTTTCTCTATCTCTTTCTATCTTCACTTCGCGTACTACTTTCGTACTTAAAAGTTGCGATTTTCGAGCCCCAGCTGCGAAAGTGGACTACACGTACTACTTTCGTACTTAAAAGTTGCGATTTTCAAGCCCCAGCTGCGAAAGTGGACTTCGCGTACTACTTTCGTACTTAAAAGTTGCGATTTTCAAGCCCGGCTGCGAAAGTGGACTTCGCGCACTACTTTCGTACGTGAAAGTTGCGATTTTCAAGCCCCAGCTGCGAAAGTTGACTTCGCGTACTACTTTCGCACTTAAAAGTTGCGATTTTCGAGCCCCGGCTGCGAAAGTTGACCTTGCAAAAGAGCTGCGCTTGCCACGAAATCTGTACTTGACCTTGCGAAAGTGCTGCGCCTGCCACGAACTCTGTACTTGACCTTGCGAGAGTGCTGCACCTGCCACGAATTCTGTACTTGACCTTGCGAAAGTGCTGCGCTTGCCACTAAATCTTTACTTGACCTTGGGAAAGTGCTGCACCTGCCACGAAATATGTACTTGACCTTGCGAAAGGATTTGCGATGCGTCCGTGCCAGAAGTAAGAAAATGCCGCGCCTGTCACGAAATCTGTACTTGACCTTGCGAAAGTGATGCGCGTGCCACGAAATCTGTACCTCAGGTTGCCGAAGTGCTGCGCCTGTCACGCAAACTGATGTCGCGAAAAGTGCGCGCGTCCGTGCCAATAATCCCGTCCCGAGCCCGTCCCGCACTGCTGCCCCTGCCACGAAATCTGCATGCGCCGCCTTGCGCGTCCGTGCCAATGGGATTTGCGATGCGTCCGTGCCAGAACTAAGAAAATGCCGCGCCTGTCACGAAATCTGCACTTGACCTTGCGAAAGTGATGCACCTGCCACGAAATCTGTACCCGACCTTGCCAAAATGCTGCGCCTGCCACGAAATTTGAACCTTGCGAAAGTGTGCGCGTCCGTGCCAATGGTCCCGGCGCGAGCCCGTCCCGAGCCCGTCGCGAGCCCGTCCCGCACCCGTCGTCCGTCAGACGCCGCGACCGGGGTAGCTTTCAGCCAGCCGGAGAAGCCAAAACCCGCAGAGGGCCACACGTATACGCACGTTTTCTCTCATGCATTCATTCTTTCTTCATCTCATCTTTGCGCAGAGCTACCTTTCAATTAGTTTCCGTAACTCGGAAGTTTCCTTCTAAACTTCCTTGCAGCTTGTTGTGCTTTGCAAAGCCTAGGGCCTAAGGTTAATTTGTTGGCGCAGCATTGCGCTGTCAGATGTGGGCGTGTCTCGTTGTTCAGGATCCCCCTTTTCGGTAAGACAAAAGAAAGCCACCCGGCTTGCCCATCATGTTGAGGTTTCTTTAGCATGGCTAATTCTTGATTGCTATTGGGTTGGATCATTAATCTTTAAGTTTTTGGAACCACGGTTTTCCACTGAACCCACAACAGTTGAAACCTTTTGCAGAGGCACGGCAAAAATCGATTCAGCACCTCTTCTCTTTGGATACACAGCGATTTTTCCGCGTTTCCGTACTGGATGTTAATAGGGCTTTCACCCAATGGGCCCATTCTTCAACCTTTGGGTTTGCGAGGGTCGCTGCTGGAGATATTTGGAGTAAAGTAAAGCCCGTTTCATGTATGGCTTACCCTCGATGCGACAGTTTTTTACTTTTGTATTTGCAAGAGTTCAGAGTTCTGCTAGAGGGGGAACCAACCGACCAGCCAACCAACATGTTTTATTGTTGCTGGCCTGCAAACAGTGGTCATTTGTCTTGTACTCGGCCTTCGGTTCTTGGACAGGAGAGGTTCATGCCTGGATCGGGCAAAGCCCTTAATATGTGACCTAGGACAAACCCACGCACACGAAACTCCCCCAGGTTTCTGTGAATCAATGTTGGTGGACAAATATGAGGGTATTTGACAATGATTATTCTAATCGAAGCCGCATGTGCCAGCAAGTGGCACGACGGGGTTCTGCGCTTCGCCAAGCAACCATACTAATACTAAAACATTGCGCACACCCCACAGTTGCTTGCCAGAATTGTTCAAAATTTGTCATGGATCGATTTCACATCACTACATGGAGGTTTCTGAACTTGGTGTTCACCCCTTGTTTTTGTGGTTTCACAGCTGACGGCCCAAGGGAAAGCCATACAGGGGCCGATTTTTCAGTACAATATGGCTATGAATTCGAACGAGGGACCCTTTGGTGGACGTTCCCTATTAGAATTCATGGCAGGACTGGACAGAGAAGCGCAACACCCTGCTGCTGCTGAGCCAGTCCTGCGAGAGCTACCCAGTGGTGGAGAAGTGAGCAGATCAGACTCCTGGACCTCTGAGGGTTCCTTTGGTTTGCTTTTGTGAGGATGTTTTTCTAAGATGGGCTAGAAAAGGGGCTTTTTGAGGACTTGTTTTCTAGGATGAGCTCAGAATGTCAGATTGCAAAAGGGGGGTTCCCTGTCCCTTGTTTGTTTTTTGTTCTCTAAGGTTGGCCAGAATAGGGGTTCAGAATCTCACAAAATTACAAGAGGTTCCAATATTAGATCTCAAGAATCGGGGACCCGGCTCAGTTTCAAGAATTGTTCGAGGGTTGTTGTTGTTTTTTTTGCAGGAAAAGACCAACCCTCGGAGTTTTGGCATGTTTGCGTCGGCGAGGGACGAGATCAAACAGAAGTCCACTTGGGAGGTACCTCCTCAAGAAGACTGCGGGCGAGGGGCTGTCGAAATCCATTGCAGGAAACGTTTTCCTGTCGCAGAAAACTTGGCAACTCGCACCAACTCTGGATTGCACCCGCAACAAAGGCTTTGACGAACTCTCATCGGGACTTGATTGCTTGGGTACCAGAGGGCTAGCTTGGGGCATGGAGTTGAGTCAATGCGAGTTCCCTTTGGCTGAAGTCTTGGTTCAGCAGTCGTTGTGGAAAGCTACTGCAGCATGGATTCTGGGCCGATTTGTCCCAGTGCAAAACCCACACTTGTGCAGTCGAAGGCGTTGTCAGAGCTGCCTGAGTCATGCTTTGTTTGGGCTTCCATGAGTTCTGAGCGGGGTTGGTATCCTTCCACCGCTTTCCAGGCTGGTGCTGTCAGGTTGCTCAAGCCAACAAGGATCATCACGGCGTGAAGTTTCATGCTAGTGATATAAGTGTGGTAGCATTTTCCAGGGCATCGCTTCTTTCGCGTGCACTCCTCAGAGGCTGGCGTTCTTGCTGTTTGCTGCAGTACTTCCTTGAACAACTGGGTCCGCCAGTAGTCCCCTTTACCCTATTTTTTGGGAGGGTTCCCCTACTAAAATACACTACAAAAGAAAGTTGGTACCCTGATTCCAGCCTCTCTAATGGAGGACCTAGACAATATGCTTCCTAGTTTGAGCAAATCGGCAGAGGACAAGCAAGTAGATAGATACACCTACGTTATATGTATACCAAAAGTACATATTTATATATGCATTTATGTACCCGCCCCGGCCACATGTGCATTTTTCCATGGGAATTGAGTTCTTCTTGCCGGATTTTTAGTGAGTGGTACTACATCTCCAACCCAAATTGACAACGGCCAGACCTCCCTCATAATGACATATGGATGGCTGGGTCCACAGTTTACGTTCATTCAAGTTACCAAACACGCGCATTTTCCTTGGATGTTAGGACTTTATCTGTTTGCCAGCTAATGGGTTTTTCATTAAGCCACTAAGTAAACTTTTAGCACAGGAGCAGAAAGCAACCGAGTACAGTTTTCCCAGTTTCGTTTGACTATAATCCGCTGTTTCGGCGGCTTCCGCTGCACGTCTCGCTCGAGTTACTATTCGTCGCGAGAGGTTCGGGCGGCTCCGCATCTGCCAGCGAAAGGAGGGGCGCCCTTTTTCTACCTGCCTTTGGGTTCAACTGGGTTCAACTTTTGGAGTGGATGCTACCTTCTGGGTGAATGATAACGACCTCACACGACCTCATCCCAAATCGTGGTTTATGTGGGGAATAGCCCCCCACCACCTTATTTCAGGTTGGTGAACTATTATAGTTCACCCAGTACCTTCTGAGGAGTGGTGCCCAACAAAAGGAGTGTCAATTTTGGTCAACTGGGTTCCACTCAGCTCGAAGGTACGCCCGCGGGGTGCTCCAATGTGTCGAGAATCTTCGGGACCGTGAGGCGAGCGGGAGGCGCTGTTTGCAATTGGTAGACCCTCTTCTTGGGAGAGTTTTTGGTTTAATTGGGCACCACAAAGAAACCGCCCTTCATTGGAGGCTTCAAATTTTGGAAACACCCTGTGTTGGGGATAATTCTTCTTTGCGATAATCAGCAAATTTGGACCGTTTGTGGAATACATTTAGCACTGAATGTGTGGCTGCTTGAGACTGAGGTTATTTGAATGCGAGTAGGGAGTAGTACGAAGATCGCCATGCTCAAGTTCAAGAGAGGTTTTTCGCACTGTGGAAGCCCATGCCTATTTCAGCGCAAGACCGCTGATTGGTCCCACAGTACTAGTGCTTTGCACAGGACACAGAATGCCACATCTTTTACCGCTGCGTGCGGGATGTGTAAGCAGAAAGTTGTGGGAATTGATTTGGGTCTGCGTGTGTGTGTTTTAGAAATGTGTTTGTTGTTCCAAGGTTTTGTTGTTTCAACCACAGAGAATCCACCATTTGGGTTTCTTTATGTTTCGATTTGGCGTCTTGTTCCGATGACTGCCTGTGCATTGATCATTACAGCAGGAGGCTGCGTTACAGCGAGATTCTTGCAAGGTCAAGTGTCAATTCTGACAGCTTGCATTTGCTACCATTTCGATGTGTCCCAAACATGCTGCACAATATGTGCCATGGTCAAAACAGACCCTTTTACTTGGGGTTAACAGAGATGGTCATCCACCTGGTAGTAAGGATCCTCAACAAGCATGTGTATAGTGATTCCCGTTATGTCAACCATGACCTGAGGCCACATGGAGGGGAGGCATGCACTTGCCTTGCAGGATCTCATGAGCTAAGTTGTCTTGCCTCTGCTTGTACCGACTCGATGCTGCATAAAATTGACCAGCAGCGACTAGCGTAAAAGCAAACAGGTGGGTGTCTGTGGGTGTGGCGTGTGTGCGTGTGTGTGTGTGGTTTCTGTGGTGTGTGTGTGTGTGTATGTGTGTGTGTGTGTGAGTGAGTGTGGTGCGTTGTGTGCGTTGAGTGCGTTGAGTGCGTGTGGCGTGTGTGTGCGTGTGTGTGTGTGTGTGTGTGTGTGTGTGTGTGTGTGTGTGTGTGTGTGTGTGTGTGTGTGTGTGTGTGTGTGTGTGTGTGTGTGTGTGTGTGTGTGTTTGTGTGTGTGTGTGTGTCTGTTCGACTGTGTTTGCGTTTGTGAGTGTTTAAGCGTGTTTGTGTTTGTGTGTGTGTCTGTTCGACTGTGTTTGCGTTTGTGAGTGTTTAAGCGTGTTTGTGTTTGTGCTTGTGTGTGTGTTTGGTGTGTTGTGTGTGTGAGTGCGTTTTGTGTGTGTGTGTGTGTTGCGTGTGCGTTTGTGTTTGTTAGTGTGTGTGTGTGTGTGCGTGTGCGTGTGCGTGTGCGTGTGCGTGTGCGTGTGCGTGCGCGTGCGCGTGCGCGTGCGCGTGGGCGTGGGCGTGGGCGTGTGCGTGTGCGTGTGCGTGTGCGCGCGTGTGCGTGTGCGCGTGTGCGCGTGTGCGCGTGTGCGCGTGTGCGCGTGTGCGCGTGTGCGCGTGTGCGCGTGTGCGCGTGTGCGCGTGTGCGCGTGTGCGCGTGTGCGCGTGTGCGCGTGTGCGCGTGTGCGGGTGTGCGGGTGTGCGGGTGTGCGGGTGTGCGGGTGTGTGTGTGTGTGTGTGTGTGTGTGTGTGTGTGTGTGTGTGTCTGTGTGTCTGTGTGTTTGTGTGTCTGTGTGTCTGTGTGTCTGTGTGTCTGTGTGTCTGTGTGTCTGTGTGTCTGTGTGTCTGTGTGTCTGTGTGTCTGTGTGTCTGTGTGTCTGTGTGTCTGTGTGTCTGTGTGTCTGTGTGTCTGTGTGTCTGTGTGTCTGTGTGTCTGTGTCTCTGTGTCTCTGTGTCTCTGTGTCTCTGTGTCTCTGTGTCTCTGTGTCTCTGTGTCTCTCTGTGTCTCTGTGTCTCTGTGTCTCTGTGTCTCTGTGTCTCTGTGTCTCTGTGTCTCTGTGTCTCTGTGTCTCTGTGTCTCTGTGTCTCTGTGTCTCTGTGTCTCTGTGTCTGTGTCTGTGTCTGTGTCTGTGTCTGTGCGTGTTTGTGCACGGCTCATCTTAATGTACCTCGGGAAAGTTCACCACCCTTCTAGGGGCTTCGCAAGAGATTGAAAGAGCCATCTTTTCAAGCGAAGAGGTTCAGGAGTTTGACTGCGACTGTCGCCGACCTTCGGAAGCGCCTGCGTGCGGATTTTGCTACTCCAAGTTGGGAGTTCCATCACCTCAACTCCTCTGCCCGTCTGGCCTTTTCGCTTAGGAACCCGCTACGTGGGTGTTGGAACTTGTGGGAGCCGTTTCGGTAGTACGGGTTTCGTGGCTGCTTCAAAGGCGCCATGTTTACCAATTTTCCGGATGCGTTTACCATTCCGGAAGATGGGTCCTTATCAACTTCGCACTTCCCACATCAAGATGCCTCCAATTCAAAAAGGGTTTGGCTACAGGAAAATCTACAGGACATGGCCCCCAAACACCGTAAATAGGGTCTGTTTTCCTGCAGAATGTCCTGTAACCCAACCCTTTGACCAATTGTTTCCTGTTTTGTTTGTTTGCCTTTTTTTTCCGTTGTTTCTTCCGTTGTCTTTCCTGAAAGGGTTGGGTTACAGGAAAGCAACACCAGGAACAGACCGTCTGTCTGAGAGCAGTTGTGGTCTTCCTTTGACCAACAACTCAAGAGAGAAGCAGGGTATATCTTGGTGGTCTTCCTTTTGGTGCTCCCTCTAAAACTCACAAAAAGGGGTACCAACTCAAAAAAACGACATCAATTCCGGGGAAACAGGGCATATCTTTACTAAAGGCGTGTTTTGTAGCTTCGGGCGCCTTCCCCATGGCTGCAAAAGGAGCTGGGTAAAGCCTCTTTACCCCCCCAACAGATCCAAACCAAACACAAATACGGCAACTTGGTTTTTCAGATGGTTAGATTCTGGTCGGAAAGAAAGAAGAAACCACAGTCAAGACCTCAGACGACGCGCTCAGAAAGCCAATGACCTGAAGACGTTGGCGAACTCTCTGGCGGTGAAGCTGCCTGGAGCTCAGCTGAACGATTCGATCTCAACGGACTGAACGAGCTCAACCCGCGTTTTGTGCCCGTGGAATCCAACGAAGCTTCGTGTTTACTCGGTGGTTTTCGAAGGCCATCCGGTTCAACTTTGGCTTTTTAGAGGCTTTTTGTTGGGTGAGTGGTAGTTTGCGTTCTTCACCCACCAAGTTTCCGCACTTCACCCACCAAGAGTTATTCACTTTTTGCAGGGGATCTGAGGGCAGGCCAGTTTAATCTCTTCCCCCTATTAATAAATACCCCCCCCCCCCTATTATAAATAAATCCCCCCAAAAATGTATTTTTTTTAATTGGGGTTTTTGGGGTTGGCTTTTTTTTGCTTTTCCAACAATGTGAGGGTTCACGTAGGATTTGGATGAAATGGATTGAATTGTAAGGTCCGCGAGTAAGCGGTTCAATAAGGAAATTTGATGTATCATTCTAATTAATTATTTGTTTACCAGTTTACTGGTTGTTTGTTTGCAGCCAGGCAGGTTAATTAGCCAGCATGTACGGGAGAGAGACAGTCGCAGCTAGAAGACAGCTTTTGGGGACATGTTTTCTTTTGAGGGACACCCCAATAATTAAAGGACCCAATTAAAAAAAAAACACATTTGGGGTGCAGCCAGGCAGGTTAGGTAGCCAGCTTGTGATTGACTGCGAGACAGTGTTTTATGTGTTGGAGCTGTTTTGTTTCTGTTAGTATAATTATAATTCTTTATCATTTTTGTTCATTGGGGGGAACAGAAATGATGACAGCCAGGCGAGAGGCCAGGCAGGATTGGCTATAAGGGGGGAACAGAGCCAGGCAGGAAGCCAGGCAGAAAGCTACGGAGCCGCGCGAAAAAAAAGAAGTCAGGGAGCCAGGGACAACCAGGGACAACCTTTTGGGGAGAGAGTCAAGAACAACCTTTTGGGGAACCCACCAAAAGAACCCAACCTTTTGGGGAAGACAGCTTTTGGGGAAGCAACCTTTTGGGGAATTGAGGAACCCACCTTTTTAAAAGTGGACCTGGAAGTTTGCTAAAAGTGCCCCCTAATAAGGATTCCAAGACTTTAGTATTGGTTTAGTATTGGGGCAATTGAAAATCAATTGTACGGAGTGGAAATCTGGTCTCGGGCCCCGGATTTGCATTTATTATTAATTGGGGTCATTCATTAATTGGGGGAAGAGATTAGAGATATCTCATATTGCCCCCCCACCCCCCCCCCCTTTGGGTTCCATGTTTTACGGGGGAGTACTTGAGTCTTCGCATTTGCCTGCAAAAACTGTTGGCAGGGACCGACCCCTCAGAGACTTACAGACGGATGTGCCGCTAGTTAGCAAATCTCAACATGTAACACGGGCAAGAACGGAGCCACTGATTATTTTGTGACCTGATCATGGTTGTTGTTGGGAAACATTGGACACATTTTTGCATCTTGTGGTTTAGTGGTTGAAATCCCCACACAGAGCTGCTAACATCTGATTTTTGTTGTGCTCCCCTTCCAACGTCCACCAAGTTGTTTGTGCCATGTGCTCACAGCATGTTTGCAGTAATTTCCGCACTGGTTGGCCAGCGAGTACTTTGAGGCTGGATATGTCTCCGCTAGCTTGGCGATTGTCGGGAACTGCGCAATGCAAGCAAGAAAGCGCGCTTCCATTTGCTTAAGAACATGTGTTATGTTCCCCGTTGGTTTGTAGAGGGAATCTATCACTAATCACCACTGGAAGCGACTGACGTAGTTTCACGGGAAGCGACTGCGACCATTTTGGCACCCAAACAGCTGGCGTGTTTCTTTGAGCCCGTCGAGCGAGTCGAGCACCTAACCTAGCGTCCGCTTTCCAGACCTCAAGGTCCAAATGATACTGATCAACCCGCATTTCGTTCCGCAGATTAGGCCAATATGCGGAAAAGCCCAGTTGTCCAGTGGCACTTTTTTCTCTTGAGATTTCTTTAAGTGAACAAGTAGTAAACAAGGCAAAAGGGGTGCGTTGTTTGCTCCCTCGAATACACAAAAGCAGGCAAGACAGGCTGTCAACTTCGCCTGGGTTGGTGGTCCTTAGACCAGTTGATTGGGAAACTGACCAGGCCCCAGGTGATCCCCGGCCCTGGGTCGGTTGATCCCATGGCCGATCGGAAACTTCAAGCAGACTTGTTCAGTCCCACCAACATTGCAACTCTCTGTGAACAGGCTTTCATCCGAGTCATCCACGGCAGGTCTTTTCAGCGCGCCCGCTATTTGTTTCAAAGTCAAACAATTGGAAGGCAACATGAGCTCGTCCATGATGATCATTTGTCTACTCTTACCAAAGGATTCCTGATTGCTTTCTTCTCTTCGCTTCCCATAGACGGGTCACTTTATGAATCTCTTCCAGGCCCACAGGTGCCTTTTGGGAGAAATTTTTGGTATTTCCCCTTATTGGTGACTTATGGGGAGCCTCCCATTTTATGGCTGAGGTGGTGCAAGACCATCTTGCCCCAAAAAGGGACCCGTTCCATGTCAACGTGGAGAGGGTGTCGCCACTCAGGAGGGCTACCAGCAAGAGCTGGCATTCCCGGCTCGCTTCGCAGCCAATGTTTGTTCCCAGAACGTCGCGAAACAAATCCATCGGTGTCAGTCTGGGGATTAAACTGGCCAATCTTGTCACAATCTTCCAGGTGAAATCACAAGGGGGTGTTGTTTTCCTGTTAGCTACCACTTAGGTGCTCACATTGGGAAATCAACAGCAGGGGCCCTTGTATAGTGGTTTTGACATGGCGCACCACCCTTAAACTGGCCTCATGATCTTTACCCGTGGATGTGCCCTTAGGAGGTTTCCCCAATTGATTTGGCAAATCCGGTTACTCTTGCCAGTGCAATCAGCACCTGGAGTTTTATTTCCTGCCTTGTTTCCTCCGCTTGTCACACTATCACCGCCTCATTTCGCAACTACAACCTGGTTTTGGCTCGACTTTCAATGTCGCTCCTTTCCTGGCATCACCTTGCCGAGAGATGCGTTTCGTTGCCCAGGGCAATTCCTTGGTACACTTGATCCTTTGCTTTGGGGTAAACCATGGTTTCTTCTCAAGGGCTCGAGGTTGCTGGTGTTGCTTTGCTTTGGGTGTTGCTGAGGGTAAAACCCAGAGACCCGTTGGGCCATGATGGTAAATGGTGCCCTTTGCGAAGGCTCAATCCTGCTCCTTTAGTTTGGCTTCGCTTTGGGAATCAATCACAAAGAAGGGTCATGACTGGGGAGGTGGGCAAGTTTGTGAAGTGATCAGTTGGCCCAGTTGGCAAAAAAAGCGCCGACGCGCGCACGGCGGTTCCTCGGTTCTCACCTGTGCCCAGCCTGCTGGCCTGGGCTTCATTTTCGCGGCAGGATCGTCTTAAGGCGACCTATGCTCGAGTAATCCGCCAGGATCAAGACAGAGAGCAAGGAGGTGGTGGCCCCAGCTTTTGAGCGCTTCAAGGCCCAGTTTGGACAACTTCCAAGATTATCGAGTCTTTTCAGCTTGACCGTCACTCGATCTCCTGTTTTGTTTGCAGTTCTTTAAACTCAAAATGCAGACACTTTCTCGGATCCAGCAAGAGACAAGGCAGCGCAATATATATGGGGCGGCGTTCTCGTGCTTGCCAATCTATAGCGCACTACATGCTTGACCTAAACACGGCAAGCCCTCCAATGGGGCGGATCTTCTTGTGGCGGCATACTCATTTAAGTGGCTCGAACAGCGCCATGAGACAATGGCCCAGCCCAGACTTCCACTGATCGCACCAAAGGCGAGTGTCGAACGGCGCACCCGAGGCACCAAAGCCAGGGCCAAAGCCAATGCCCAAGACGGAAACGAAGCCCAAAGAGGCCAAAGAGGTGAAAGAAGTGAAGGATGTCAAGGAGGTGAAAGAAGTCAAGGAGACAAAGGAGTCAGCGCTGAGTGGGTGGAAGGGGGAAGTTGTTTTCCACGGTGCCCGTGAGTAGGGGTGAGATTTGGCAGTGAGTATTGGCTGGAAAGACATCGACCTGTTGACCAAGCGTGTTGTTGTACTCCAGCGCAGAACCAGGAATATCCGACCAAGCAGCTCAGCTTGCTCCTTCAAGAGGAGGGTTGTGCGGCTGTGTTCCCACGATCAAGACGGCAATCTTGGGGGATTCCTGGTCAGAGTGACAGTAAACAACTTGTGCGTTTTCAGAAGGAATGCGCAGACTGATCAAATCAAGACCTGCAACACTTCACTTTGCATGACAATGCATCATAGGCTAAGGGCAACATGCTTTGCGGCAAGAGAGAGAGAGAGAGAGAACAAAAAGCAAAACAATGCAACAATGAACCCTACACATATTTAATAGCTACGTGCGTGCGTGTAAACGCAAATGTACACATATGGCTGTGGGTCAAAACCAATGGTACCATTTTGGGGTAGGTGCACCACCCATTGTAGTCTATTTTAGTGGGGATTGGGATGTTCACTGGGGGTACGGGGTTTTGACCATATCATATACAGATTCCGGGAGATGCCTTGCTGATTCGCAATGTTTGACGACCATGTTTCTTGAGGCATCACATGCACATTCCCTGCGCAGCTCTCTACTCTGATTCTGGCCATTTTGCACACTACCTTGAAAAGATCGCTTTCGGCCCTGTGACGAACCACCTGCCCGTGTTCATACCAGGCAGTGTTTCACAGTCGCGGATTGCGGAGACTTGCCAAGCTCACCGTCCTGCTCAATACACACTGTTTTTTCTTCCTGCCGCATGTTGTTAAGGCCTGTGGCAGGGTTTGAGATGATATCAGTAGCGAACTTTTCTTCAGCATAAATGTAGATTCCTGCGCAAATGGTTAGCTGGAAAGATTGAGCCCTCAACCTAGTTGCCTCAATCCGCAAGGAGATTGAGAAGCTGTTTGTTTAAGTTTTTGCTTGTACAATCCCACCAGCCTTAGGTCTAGGGACTCTCGGATGAAAGGCTGCCGTTCAGCTGGCCAAGCTGGGAGTGGCAGGCAACCCCGCATGCCAGGAGGTGGCAAAGCCGAAGAACGGCCAGAAGAAGGACAGGGCCCCTCCATCGGTTTTGGCCAACGTCCTCCAGACTGCCCTTTTACCCTTTTTGGGGGGAGGGTTCCCCTACTAAGATAGACTACAGAAAAAAAATCGGGTACCCTTATTCTAACCTCTCTGGAGGACCTAGCAGGTGTTGCCAGGATACACTTTGCTCACCTGGATGATTCCAACTTGAGAAACTCAGTTGCCCAAAGCCTACCTTTTGACCTTTTGGTTTCTCCTTTTTGGTCTAGTTTCAGTCATGGCCCCAAAAGGTCAACCTTTCATTTCTGGGTCCTTTGGGCAAGTGAGGAAACATCGTGACTTTGGGCATCTGTCTTTTGGGGAGGTCAGGTGGAGGGGCACTTGCGAGCCAGGGCTTAGAGGCAAGAGACACCGAGGCAGAGTCAGAGCTTCTATGCCACATGCACATAGAATTTGTGAAAGCCAACGGGTTCGGCGGCAAGCTCCTAAATTTCATGTTTCCTTTGAATGAAAGTTGGTTCAGCCCCAGTTCCCCCCATGTGTCAGCCACTAACCTCCATACTAATAATGATAAGAAGAAGAAGAAGAAGAAGAACAGTCATGAGAATAATAACAAAAGAAGAAAAAGCAACATGAGATGGTCAAGCCTTTCAGCTGGCAATCGGGTTCGGAGCCCGTAAATCACCGCCAACCGCCAGCGCTCGCGCAGGAGGGGAAGGAAGGCAAAGAGTCCAAAGAGGCGAAGGAGCCAAAGGATCCCAAGAAGGAGGACGGTGCGACGCCGCGGCTCGCGGCTCTCAGGTCTTTTTTTTGGTTTCCGCTGCCTCAGGTGTTCCTTTTCGGTGGTTGGCTTAACAAATCGAGACCCCTGGTTTAGAGGGCCTGCCTTTTTGAAAAAAGGGTTCCAAGGTGGAAAAAAAGGTTACCCTTCTTTCCAAAAGGCCAGCTATGACAGCGACGGTGCGGCTCACGGTGCGACGGTGCCGCCGGTGCTGGGGTCGTTCTGGGTTTCTGCTCCTTTGCTTTTGTTGGTGTTTGTGGCTTTTGTTGGTTGGTTGTTTTGCTTCGGCTTGGGAATGGTTTCTTTTCCACTGCAAGGGTGTCACCCTTTCCTCGGGTAACCCTGGGTTGCTGGTTTGGATTGATGGGAACTGGGGGTTTGAACCGCTGGCTTTGTAGAGGGTAAATGGGAAGCCCCTTCCGAACCGCCAAACCGCTCCAAACCACCAATTGAAGGTAAACTGATTTTCTTTGAGTTTCCTTTGCACCGCAGCCTGGCACGACATTTCATGAGGGTTTGCGGATCAGGGGTGTGTCTTCTTGTTTTGTTTTTTTTTTGAGGGACCTTTTTGGGGTGGTGTCAACGGGAAACCCAAGGGAACACAGCCAATATTTGGTGTCTCCTATAACATCTATACGACACTCCCACGGAATTGTGAAAATGCATTTGGCACCTCCAAGAGGACGCATTCAAACTTCAACTAGCGATATTGCAGGCATGTGAGAGGCAACAACACCAAGACCAATTGCAAATCGCTCCTGATCTACTTGCCGAATTCCTTGAGTGTTCCGGCAAAATCTTTGGTCATGGCCCAAGCAATCACAACTTGCGGAGGGGTTGCAAGCGGCACTTGGGGCCCGCTTTGTTTCATGTCCAAAGCGCTGCAGTTGAAGCCGGGCTTGCTTTCTTGGGCACCGAAAGGCGCTGAGCCCCACAGCTCGGCTTCGCCATTGGCCCCAAAGTTGTGCAATTGTGGCTTAGCTCAGTGTGAAAAAAAACGCGCAGCTTCAGACAAGCCAGAGGCAACGATTCCCTGGCGCCAGGTCCGCAGTTTGTTTTGTGCGACAGAAACGGTGAAAGCGCAATCCGCTGAGTGCAAGCATTCCAGCAGCAACCGGCATGAAGCGGCCAGCCTGAAGAGACGAAGAGCAGTGGAATCGATCCGGAAATCGGCATGTCTAAAAACTTTCCCAAGCTCTGGGAACAAACTTCTTGGTTTGCAGATGAGCTGTTTCACGCAAAAGACATTGCAGGGTGGGAAGCATGTTCGTCATGTTCAAAGCTCCCGAGCCCAAAGGCTCCTGAAGTGTCACTGTTTTTTGTTTTGTTTTTTGAGCATCCCTATTGAAAACATGTGTTTTGGTTCCCCTAAAGTGTTTAGAGTCTTGGAGGGATTCACGACATATCCCACGAAACGTCTCCCTTTATTTTAGCAATTGATCATACAAACTCAGAAAACAAACAAACAAAGCCCCCACTAGCAAAGAAATCTCTCTTTTCTTGTTGAAGTCTGCCAAACTTGTCCTTCAAAAAGGCAGAAGCAGTGGCCTGTGCCATGGTTGCGCCTCACTTTGGCGTGCGCTGGGAGCAGCGGAGCGGACCAGATTCACAGGGCTGGCAGGTGGCCGCTTTGGGACCCGAGTGTTGGGTCGATTCATTGGCGGTGCCGCCCCTTTTTTCAACTTTTTTTTGGGAAGGGTTCCCCATTAAAGTCAACCGACCGAAAAGGATGCCCTTTTATTCCCAAGGCGACTGGGCATCTGAGTCTTGGCCTTTTTGGGTTTCCACCATTTCCCCTTTCAGACGGACAGATTTGAACAGTTGGGGGGTTCGAAGTCTGCCCGAGCTTGCTTGTCACACAAGCTGGTCCTTGCTTACCTGCCCACCGCCCCGGAATTGATTTCGGACGCCTCTCAGAGGTATGGCAAAGCCTGTGAACCAACAGAAGGGATTCGGCAAAGGATCACCCTGTGTGACAAGCCTGCATCCTCGTGGTATGGTGTTTGATGGATGGTGTTTTATTTCTTGCCAGGAACATGCAGCGTCCACGCCTGTCACTTGCCTGGAAATGCGACGATCCCAACGCTTGACGACACGAACTCTTCTCAGCTTTTCCCCAGCTTGAGCAAAGGCTATCGGCTCGAGGAAACTATGGGCAGAGCGCAGAACGCCCGTTTTTTGTTTGCATGGCCTGGGCTTCATGCGGCGAGTTTGCCCCCCCCCCCTTCCCCCCCGTCGCGGGGGACTTCTCCTCCTCCCGGAGGGAATTACCCCGGAAGACAGGCATGGCCGAAGCCTCAAATGGAATTTGTAGGCACGGCAAACCGGCGTGGTCCAGAGTCCAAAGCCAGCAGAATGGTGTTCCCAAGGTAGACAGCCCATAAACTCAGGAAGCGAGTGCTAGATCTTTTTGCAAGCTTGGGACATGGCTTGCTGATTCCGCGATTGCGAGGCCAAGCCAAATGCAAACCAGAAGCTCTGCTGGACGCAGTGTGTTGCGCCGTGAAAAAAATGGGACATCGGTACCTGTCAATGCTAGGCTCAAAGCCCGGAATGGGATGCAACATGACACGTGACACGTGTAGGGAAACACTTGACAAAGTAATTCCGGATTTATCATGGGGCAATCGAAGGGATGTGGCAAAAGGACCACCACGGGGAAGGGGGGAGGGGGCGATCAAATTAGCCCCTTATCATTTTCCATAGACCAAGGAGAGCAGAGCAAAGAGATCGTGGCAAATTGCAACGAGCCTTCATGAGTGATGAACGAGCTTATGAAGAATGGGAGATCCCTTCCAGCTGGGAATAGCTTACTTGTTGAATTTGTTGCCAAGTTGTTCGTCAATTAATTGTTGCAGTCTAGGCGTGGCCGAGTTTGCTAGGGTCATCCTTGTTTATGCTGTCATTCCCCCACCCCACCCCACCCAAAAAAAAGAAGGAAACCTATTTTATCGCTTATACCACCTCACGGGTCATCACCAAAACGAATTGGATCAGCCAAAAGCGGTCCGCTCCCAGAACAAAACTCCAGCAAAAAATCGATGGATCAAAGGATGTTTTTCCAGCTCTCCCCCCCTCCAAAAAAAGCATTTTTTGCTGGACCGGGTCATATTTGTTTATACAACCTCACACCAGAAAAACTAAAAACGATTGATCCCTCAGGCCCTCCCCCCCAACCGGCAAACACTTCGACTTGGTGGCCATCCGGTCCCTTAGCCACGTAGTTTTTTTTTTTTTTTGTTGAGCGGTAGTTTCCACTTAACCCACTAAAAGTTGGTCACTTTTAGCGGGCAATCCGAAAACGGGCAGCCCAGTCAAGTGAAGAAAATTCGGAGGCGGCGCTGCTCCACCCCAGCTGCCTCCACGTGGCGCTGAGTGCTCGCCGCCTCGGCGGTGTGGACTGGGCCGCGGTGCGGCGCGTGGCGGAAGCGGGAGACGCGCTGGAGGCGAAGGCGGCAGCGAACGAGAGCGCGACTATAGGTTTCTCCAGGGCGCGTTTGCCAACCCTTTTTTTTCGGACATGGGACCCCTCGTTATATATATATATATTTCTCGGAAATGGGACCACTAGATGAATAATCCCCTGGTGGATGAATCCGGGGTGTTTCCTTAGGGCTTCACCGTGGGAGAAACAAATGCCGCCCTAGGATGGGTCTATTAATCCGGGGCTAGGTCCCCCAGCTAGGTGCCCTTTCACACCCCTTTTTTGGTTGGGAGGGTTCCCCTAAAATAGATTACAGAAAAAAGTTGGTACCCTTAATCTAACCCCTCTACTGGAGGACCTAGGTGATCGATCCCCTGTAGCTGGATGTGTTAAAAAGAACCCCCCCCCCCCACGGCTTTTTGGATACTTGGGATTTTGGACGGAAAAAGCGGTTCTTGGGGGTGTACTTGGATTTGAGCAAGGATCTGTAAGTAATGTCCTTTTCATTTCAAAGGGAAATGGTGGTTTAGATTTCCACTGTGTCGCCTTGGGGTCTCCACGGTTGGTTTTGTAGAAAGCTGGGGTCTCCTGGGTGGTTCAAAGGTGAGTTGTTCAAATGTTCAAAGCAGAATGGAACCGACGGATGAATGGGAATTGACGTAAGCTTCCCAAACAAGAGGAACACAAACTGCGCCTTTTTTTTTGGGGGGGTCCTCAGCTTTGAGGCCATCCCAAACAAGCGCCCCAAACCCAATTGACGCTGTAAGAAATTCCTCGGAAAGGTGGATGCAGACGTGAAATAACCTAACCAAGTCGAAGCCCAGATATCAAATGACCCTGAGGCATCAGGATTTCTGGCGTATCTCCCCACTCGCGGCTGGTCCTGACGGAGCTGGATGTTGCGATTCTCGAGACCCCGCAAATATGTTCTGGTTTGTTCCATCGGGGATCAATTCCTAGCAGAATTGACAGCCCACCATTTGGCATAGGCATTATGGATTGAGAAGCGAGCGGTTTTGGATAGATGGTCCCTATCTGGGTTTTGAGAGATCTCAGCCGATCATGCGGGAAGGGCTTTGGGATGATTCAAGAGGTGTATGTCCAGGGATAACATATTTCATGCGGGATGGTAAATCACAGGCGTTTCAGAACTGGTATGGGTGATGAGGCACGTTTCATGACTGAAATAATCACACCCAATGTGTTTTTTGCTTCACTCCTTAGGCTCCTTAAGCTTCCACATCAGGGCAGTTCCAAGGGAGTTGGCGCACTGGTGCAGTCTCGAAACCAAACTTTTGTGACAGGCTCTGAGCCCAATCCCCTTCGCAGAAGCTCGCCCCAGAAGATTTGTTGCATTCTCAGGGGGGCCTCTGGTTCTCATGATTTTGATCTGAAGGGGCTTCGCAGAAGGCAGGGTTTTGCCGCGAACCCTCAAGGCGCTTCCAAAGGCGGCGGCGTGCCGACGCCTAGGGGGGAAAAACACTGGCCTCCATGGACTTTCCTTTGCCGACCTTTGCCTCCAGCCAGGCGTCGGAACTTTTCTGTGAGACGCACCCACTGGTGC